GGTCAATTTCTGCTTATAGCTTAAGGAGGGTTTCAGTCCATCATGGTATGGAAGGATTGGTGGCAATAGTGTGGTCACATTGTATCTGTAGCTGGCAAGCAGGAAGAAATGAACGCTGATGTTCAGCTTGCTTTCTCCTTTTTATTCAGTCCAGAATCCCAACTCAAGGTTCAGTGATACGCAAATTTAGAATGGATCTTCTCACTTCAGTTAGCCTGGTTGTCTCTCAGGTGATCCTAGATCCTATCACATGGGAAGTGTTAACCATCACAATGCATAAGGGTGGAATTAGTCATGGGGGTTTTTAGAATGGCAAGTTGCAGAAAGTCTTAGGAAAGGTATTAGGGACCAAATTGTTAGATACTGTGATTTACTGGAAGTGAGCAAGCAACATCAGGTGTGGCAGAAATAGCTGTTTTGGTTTTGGAGCTTGGAATTTGAAATTCCTGAACATTGCGGGTGTTCAGATACTTAAACAGTAGTCTAGTTGGGAAGCATAGGTGTAGGCATTAACTGGAGTGCCACCATCAGGGTGTGAGAGGAAGAGATCTTAAGGGACATCTGCTTACACACCAGGATTCTCACAGATCCCATGAATCACCTTCTATTGCCTTACTTCCATTTTTCCTTTCAATAATTTGAATACCTTGTGACCTTTGCACTTGTTTATTTATGGGACCCTGTCCCCCCTTTTCTTCATGTGTCAGACTCTTCCTCATCTCTGCGTCCTTCAGACTGACCTACTCATTCAATTAAATATAAATGTCCTTGTCTCTGTCTTAAGATCTTCTTGCTGTCAGAGGCCTGGCCATGTTCTGTTTCATTCCTTTCTTCATTTTGTGTCATTTACTGAGATGCAAGCTCAGCAAGGCAGCATCTATGCCTGCCTTGTTCATTGCTTGAATCACAGACAGACAGAAGTATTTGGCATATGGAAGACACTTCATATTTTTGAAAGGAAGAATGAAAATACTGAAAACTCTGATTTCTTCGAGGATCTTAATGCATTATGTACCAATTTTTGACTTACCCCAACTGCATTTTTGATTTGTTCTGTTCTAGATAATTCCAAGTTTGTGTGATCTCCTGAATGTCCTTGGCTTTCCATCCATTTTGCCTTCTCTATTTTTACTCCTTGAGATGTCCTTCTCTTACTCCTTATTTTCTCTTTTATAATCTCTTGACAAGGTGATGATTAAGCCTCTTAGAAAGAGACACCAGCCCAGTGATGGCATCACCCACAATGGGCTGGGCACTCCCCTATTGACCACTAATTAAGAAAATGCCTCACAGTGGAATATTATAGAGGCGCTTTCACAGTTGAGGCTCCCTCTTCTCTGATGACAAGTTGATGATTAAGCCAGTCAAGTGCATATGCTTATGATGTCCCAAAGAGGTTTACAAAGTGGAGTCCAGAACTAGATTGATAACAGGTAGTTTATTAAGAATGTACTCATGCAAGGGAGCCAGTGGCCAGGTTTACACAGAGCAGGAGTGACCCACAAGATGCCTCCTAGTCCGCTCAACCAGGAGGAAGAGAGAAAAGGGGCCCATGCACGAACCTCCCAACTACTTAAACCTTTGTTACATCACTCTGACCACGACCAAGTGGGCATGGTCAGCAGTACCTCTAAACAGGATTTCTCCCTACAATGTCCCTTCTCTCCAGCACTTACTACCACATGTAGCATAAAGCTGTTACAGGTCTGTTTCCATAGAACATTACAATGAAGCTAGAGAGTGCAACTGTCTGATTGTGTATCTTACAAAAACATAAAATAAAGTTATAATCTCCAAGGCGATAGTCTCATGGTATTGGGTTTGGAAAAAGGTATGAGGGTGAAGCACTCATATGTGAGATTAGTGTTCTTACAAGAAGCCCCACAGAAATTATTCACCCTTTCTACCATACAAGGCTACAGTGAAAGGTGACATTGATAAAGCAGAAGGCTGGTTGCTGTTAATTCTGTTGACACTTTGATTCCAGGCTTTCTTCTTCTCCAGACTAGTGAGAATAGTCTGTTGTTTGTGAGTCACTCAGTTTATCACAGTTTGTTGTATTAGCCTGAATGGGGTAAGATACAGGAAAACTATCATTTGAGTTCACATCCTTATCTCTAGTCAAGTTGTTGGTACTCTGTAGCTATTTGTTATTTGTGGAGTGAATGAAGAGCTAGACAAACAGATGGAGGAATAATGGAAGTAAGCTAGGGCACTAAGGAACATACCAAGTTAGATCGATAGCTTGGAGTAAGTCACTTGTGTTGGGTGAGGATATATGTCTTCATCTATTTTGGGAACAAATGATGGTACCCACCCTGATCACAATAGCATTCAATGAGATGTGTCACATCCATCAGCCTTCTTCAAAGAAATGGAAGCAATGGGATTGAATTAAATATTTTTAGGAAATTGTCTCACAGCTATGATGACTTACTGAGTTCAACTGGTGTGACACTGAGGCTGAAGACTGTGAAAGAGTTATAGTTTTAAGTCTAGACTCAGCTTGATGAGGAGTCAGAATGAAGTGTGAATGTTGTGTGCTGGAGATCTCCCTCCTGGACGTGGGTCTTTGTTATTCTAAGGCTCTGACACATGTGTGGAGCCCTCTCATGCTTTGGGAGCCAATTCATTTTTTATCCCGAGCCCAATTTAATTATAAACCTAAATAAAAATGTTTGAACAAGTACGTGGGTCATATTGTCCAGCCAAGTTGACAAATAAAGCTAGCTACCACACATGTAAGACATCACATAGTTTCTTAGCTACTAGTTAGGAAATCCTAACCAGTTTCTGTGAGCTGGTTCTGTGTGTCTACTCAGAAGAGCTATGAAGATGTACTTTAGGGTCACTGGATTATGGTTTCTTGCTGGATAGAAAATGAGATTTCCCCCTCTTATTCTACCCTGAGTCTCTCTGCAGGCCAAGGAAACAAAACTAAATTATATTTTCTCCGAACAGCATGGGTAAGAAAGGCTGCTCAGTGCCCACCAGTGAGGGAATGAACATACCAGAATAAAGGTAAATAAGGAACAACAACACCACTGTTCACTCATGGGTAGCTATGGCCTAACTCCATGCCTTGGTTGTTCATAGTTCCCCGAAGTAGAATAGGAATGAGCTACCACACCAGGTGTGCTCCTTTCTCAGGAGAGGTCACAGAAGCTGTGTTTTGGTCCGTACTAGCAGAATGGCTTCCTGGAAGACAGAATTTTGAAAACTCCAGCATACATTCATGGATGGCTTTCATTACGTTTCTGGAGGGTAAATCAGCACCCACAGTTTAAAAGGGCTTACTAGGAGTTGGGAAGATAGCTCAGTCAGTGAAATGATTTCCTAGAAAAATATGAAGACCCAAGTTTCATTCACAGAAAAGATGTAAAAAATCTCTGCGTCGTGGTAAGTCCTTGCAATCCTAGCCCCAGGGAGGTGGAGACAGGGAGGCCTGTGGAGCTCACTGGTAAGTCAACATAGTTTAATGGTGAGAGGTAGGTCCCAAGTCTCAAGGAGAGGCTCTGCATTAAAACATAAGGTAGAGAGTTTTAGAGGGACATCTGTGGTTGTCATTTGAAATCTACACCCAGGCAGACACCCCCATGTGCATCTGATCTCCCTCTCTTTTTTTTGAATATCACTTTATTTTGTTTTATTAGAAACAAGCTTCTTTTACATGTCAATCCCAGTTCCCTCCCCTCCTCTTCTGCTCTCCATCCCCCATCCCAACCCCTTTCTGCTCCCAAGAGAGGGTGATGCCTTCCATGGAGGATCTTCAAAGTCTGTCACATTATTTGGAACAGGGCCTAGGCCCTCCTCCGTGTGTCTAGTCTGTGAGAGTATCCTTCTATATGGAGAGGGCTCCCAAAGTCCGTTTGTGTATTAGGGATAAATCCTGGTCCACTACCAGAGGTGCCATAGATTGCCCAGACCTCCAAACTGACCTCCTCGCTCAGGAGGTCTGGAACAGTCCTATGCTGGATTCCTAGCTATCAGTCTGGGGTTCATGAGCAACCCCTTGTTCAGGTCGGCTGTCCCTGTGGATTTCTACAGTCTGGTCCTGACCTCTTTGCTCATCACTCCTCCCTCCCTAGTTGGAGAGATGGCTCAGTGGTTTAGAGCCCTGGCTGCTCTTCCAGAGGTCCTGGGTTCAACTCCCAGCAACCAAATGGTGGTTCACAACCATCTGTCATGAGGTCTGGTACCCTCTTCTGGACTGCAGGCAACTATGCAGACAGAATACTGTACATGTAATAAAAATAAGTAAATAAATTTAAAAAAAAATAAAAAGAAGTGTAACCTTGTTGGAGGAAGTGTGTCACTAAAGGTGGACTTTGAGGTTTCCCAAAAACTTTGAGGTTTTCCTGGCCGTGTCCCATTTGCTCTCTCCGCTTATGGCTTATCATTAGAGGTGTGAGATCTCTGCTGTTCCTTCTTTCTTGTCTGCCTGCTGCCCTGATTCTTGGCTGTGATGGCCATGGACTCTTATCTCTCTGGAACTGATCTCCCTCTCTTACATTCAGGTTCATCAATCACATTTCAAGGCATCTTTGTAGCTCTATAATTTTTCCCCAGATATCTTGATCTCTTATCTAAGTACTACCAAGTCCCAAACTTCATAAAGGACTGCAGTCTCCTAAATCTTCGATTCTGCACAACTTTATGAAGAATAATATTGAGTGACACATACTTCCCATGGTGTGGACCATGTCTTCAGGTTGGAAGGTCATTTCTCAGGTGTCTTTATCTTGATGGTTCAAGAGGCCTGGCCACCTCTATGTGAAAAATGCATTTTTGGCTGGGTAGAGTTGCATTGAGTAAGGAGGGGGTAAGAGGGACAGGAAATGAGGCATTTGAAAATAATACTGCCATTGTCTTCAGTAGATTTGAACTGACATACATCCAGTATTTGGATGGAATTTTCTGTGGAACCAATCCCAAACTACCTCATGTCAAAATATAAATATCTGACAGAAAGGTGCATTTAGAAAAATGAAACAGAAAACTACACTGAAAATCATAAAATTTTATTTGTGATTATTTGATCATACAGATTTTGTCAAAGTGCACTCCTAGCTCTTGCATTTATCACTGAAATATGCCACAGATTGTCATTTTAAGATTTACTTCCTATAGACTCATATTAAAATGTGCCACATGGAAGGAATAAATGAATGTATTTGATGCTATTTACTGATTATGAAAATAGAGAAATCCAAAATTATTTATCAATATCAGAAAATACATATTTCTATATTATTAATTTTAAAATCACATATGAGTCAAAATAAAGAGTAGACAGACAGGTTCTTCTCATTATGTATAAGCTACAGATAAGGTGGTTTTCATTGTCGAATATGGAGCCTGTGGCTCAGAGCTGTGTAATCAGAGCCTTGTTTTAACATACGTTGCTCTCCTAATGACGGTGACTGTAAAAAGCAGACAGAACAGTTCATGCACAGTGAAGTGTGGCATTAACCACACATTCATCCTAATATCTCATTTCATCAGGAACACAGCTTCAATATTCAAATAAAAATGACGTGTGGTCCATCCCTGAGTAGTCTGGACACCTGTTTCAGGCATGAGTGCTGAACTGAATTTTAGTCAGGAAATAGTCTCTCTGTTAGTGTCCAGCACCAAAGAGTGAGCTACTTCACAAAAGGGACCAGAAGAAAATTCTAGAAAACACCCTTTCAGGTTTTGTTCCCCTTGTCATAGTAAATAATGACTTGACGTTTTTCGATCGTTCTTAATGGAGCTAATTACACGTCCTTAGAAATGGTGTTAAAATTACAGGTAATTTTTAATTACAAAGTGTTACCTTGGCAACGGTTTCCTGTATATGTAACTGTACTTTGTTCCAAAATAGTTCATTTCACTTACAATTAGGAATCAAAGAATGAGCATGGCATAGGGCAATTTAGAAATTGTCACACTAATTGCCATGAAAAAGTTAATTTTTCACAGTAGACAACTGACGGAGCACATCCAATTAACTGGTATGCAGTTACTCACCAGCTACCTCAGAAAAGAATTATTCCATTTTATGACCATTAATTGGTCACTGGCATTAGACATTGCTTTCCAATTTAGACATTTATTTAGTAATTATATGTGTAAATCTATAAAATTTGGAAAAGAACTGACCACAATGATTCCTTACCGCTGTGTTTAAAGATCAGCCTATGTCGGTCACATCAAAGTTCACAGCAACTATCTTACAAATCACCTTAACACACTGGCTTCACAGCTAAGGGTAAGCCTCTCTTTGGTTCATAAGGTGTTGTCCTGGAAACCATCCTGATACAGTCGATAATAGGACAGACGCTGAGGCAGAGAGTGCAGCCTGTGCAGGTGTCGGTAACAGTAGGCAGGTGAGTTTCTGGATCAAACTGTATAGCCTGCAAACAGAAATCATGAGAGTTGAGCCCCTGCCCACCAGTGACAAGAATGCTCCCATTTCAACATCTGCATCTCTGTCCACAGCAATGGAGATGACTGCACCAAGCACCGAGGTAGTAAAATGATAGGAATAGCTGAACTGACAGTAGAAACAGAGATAAAAATGAAACTCCCTTAAATTAGAAATGCAGTGTTTACAGTTCATTAGAAGGTTTTCTTTTCATGGGGGAAGAAACATTTTGAAACACAGCCCTTCTGCTTTCAAGTCAATGTAGCACACAGTCTTGCCAATCTGACCAGGCTGGGGCATCTTGTGCCTGCTGGTGCTGGATGAGTTCATACATCATAGACCCATCTACTCCTCACACTTCTTGTTCTTTTGGTGTGTGTGTGTGTGTGTGTGTGTGTGTGTGTGTGTGTATGCACGTGCTGGTGACAGAGGCATGGAGGCATGTGTGTAGGTGCATGTAGAAGTCAGAGGACAACCTCACTTGTAATTCTCAGGAATGCCATCTGTCGGGTCTCTCATTGGCCTGGAGCTCACTGATTAAGCTAGGTTGTCTGGTCAGTGAATCCTAGTGATCCTCTGTCTCTGCTTCCTCAGCATTGGGATTCCAAGACTGGGTCATTTTGCTGGGCACATGTGGGTCAGTGGGACTGAACTCAGGTCCTTGTGATTGTAAGGCAAGTGCTTTACAGATGGAGCCACCCTCCTAGGCCACACTCCTTGTTCTTCGCCTTGGAGAAGTGATGATGTTAGGGGAGGCAGTGAATGCATTTCAAATAATGCATGCAAAATTTAAAAGAAGACAGTAGAAAAAATTGGCTCCACAGTCAGCTCTGAGATTCAACCATTTCCAACTTGATTTTAAGCATTATCCCACCACTATAGGACAGGAGAACCCTTGTCCCGCTCTGGCCCTGATATCTCCCAGATGTGAGAACCTGGACCAGCCCTCTAACTCTGACTCAGCTCATGATTTCTCCCTCCCTCTGTGCCTCCCCCATCCCCTTTAACTCTCTTCCTATTGTCTTTCCTTCCTTCCCTCCCACTTGTATTTTCCCCTCACAGAGTTATATAGGAGAATAAAAGAATAAATTTACTGAATGTGAAGTGAGGAATGAGATGGTTTACGTTATCCTAGTAACTTGCCCATTATAGGCATCAAAACAATGGAGACACTATGGCAGTCCTCGGGCAGGTTTGGACTTTTAGGAAGGACTTCCATGCAGCTGTGGGAGAGGGCAGTGGATGAGCGGAAGGGGACCTCCTGGTAGCCATGCTGCTGACTTAATTGCAGAAGTCTTTTGGAATGACAAGGTAGGGCTTGTGGAGAAATAACAAGGGGCAGGAGGAGCCCTACTCCTCTCACCTCCTGAGGCTGGCCCTAGGAATCTTTTGTGTAAACATAATTTCATGATTATTATTGCCTTTCATGTCTTATTATTGTGTTAGAATCTAATTTATATGTACAGTGCACAAGCTGGTAGGTGAAGTTGTAAGTTAAAATCAAAGAGAAATGGATAAGATGTCTTCTGTCCACCACAGAGGAGAGGAATCCTTAATCTCCCTTTTCTGTCTCGTGGCAGGCTCTCAGCCAAGGCATGGAAAGCATCCATGGTCACTTCCAATGGCAGATAAACAACAACAACAAAAATATCTTTCTGTCTCTGTCATTTCCAGTTATGAATAAATTTCTAAAGACCAACTGCTCCAGGTACGCGGTGGGAGAGTATTTCTTTTCATTTTTAAAATTACTGTGGTAAAAACCCAATCAATACTGAATGAAGGAGAATCGTCTGTAGGCTGAAGGAATCAAGTTTTTTGGGGGGATTGGTAATAAATGACAGTTCTCCTCTCTGCAGTTACTACCAGACCATAACCTTCCCTAATGTACACTATTTTGCAAGAATTTCTGTTTTCACTCAAGCTTCCCTCTCCAGCTTCATGGGTGATGAAACATTATTAAAATAATACTGTGCACTGAAACTTGGATATACTGGTTATTTTTCTCATTGTTGGAACTAAAACCTGACAAGAAGCAACTCAATAGATGCACGGATGGAGGACTTATTTTAGCTCCCTGTTCAGAAGATGGAGCCTATCATGGTGAGGAAGGCATCACTGCAGCTTGCAGCCATGGTAGGGGAACTTGCTCATAAGTGGCTGGATCAGAAAGCAAACAAAAATGCCGACCGTGCTTAGCTCTTCTCCCATTTCTATTCAATAGGAAACCAACACAGTGGATGGTGCCTCTAACAATAAGGGGTGCATCTTGGTCAGAGAAATGGCACAGCAGTTAAGAGTTCTTGCTGAGTTTACAGAAGACCCAAGTTTGACTCATAATACCAAAGTTGGAAGGTCACAACCACTCCAGGTCCAACAGATCTGAAGGGGGGAATGCCCACATACAGTATAGGTTTCTACTGACCCCTACACAGAAAATAAAAGGAAAAAAAAACACACACACACCAGTTCATTACAAGGAATAAAGGGAGACCTGTGGTGAGGGGACATATTTGGCTTACCTGGTTTGAATTGTACATTTAGCAACAGTAGACAGTTGCTGCCCCTAAAGAAGAGCCATGCCTTGCTGCAGCATCTTAATTCTAGCAGTGTTCCTACCTGGTAGCCAGAGTCATTACAGGTCATGTAACATTTGCCGCAATTGATGCACATTTCCTCATTGATCAGGGCCACAACTTGCTCTACACCGCTCAGCTCACCAAATGTTCCCAGGTATTGCAGCGCTTTTCCAATTACATCCTAGAAAATGGGCAGTGAATTACTCACAGTGCTCAACTTCAAACAATTCCTTAGTAACTAATATCTGCCCACATTTCCCCATTTTGAGCTCACATTGCATTCTGTTTAGTGATGGAGCTTGGAGTATCACAGTTCTCACAGAGGCACTTTCTGTGACAGTTAGCTAACTTGATTTTGAGAGATGGGCAGTGTGCACACTCAGCTTGGAAATAAAAGGGCACTGACTATGGCGATGGGTCAGTGGTTAAAGTGCTTGCCCTTCCAAAATGACAGAGTTTGGATCCCCAACATTCACATAAGACCCATGTAAGATAAAGCAGAAGGCTATTGCGGGAGCTAACCTAATATCTGTCTTGGAATTCCACAGGAGTACACACACACACATGTACCTACACATACCACATATGCACCTGTACACAGAACATGCAAACCCACACACATGCACATTCAACATGGGGGGGTACAGTTATAAGACTTCAACAGATGAATTAAATTGCTTTTCTGCTGGGCACTCTATAATAGCATTCTATATAGAGAGACTAAAATAATTCTTTTAGGTGTTTGTAACATATATCCTAGAGTTAGAAGGATCAAAAAAATAATGTCAATGGACAAAAAGATGCCACATTTACACTAAATATTCATTTCACTGGGGATAAGGGAAATGAAAACTCGAGTACATCCCATTTTTATTGTTGATTTTTGAGTCTTGATTTTCATTTGGAAGATGTTCTGATAGCTCACTCACTTGTCATGTCTTGAAGAATATATTTCCTTATTGAAGAATTCTAATTTATGCTAATTAATTAGGTTGATCTAGGTTGAATTAGATGCTTTTTCACTCTTAAAGACTAGCAATTGCTCCATTCACTGCTGAAGATCTTTCAGGCAGTTACACATGGCTTTGTTTCTTATAGTAATTGAGTTTATGCTTAATATGGGAAACACAGAGGGTGTTTCATCAACACTAGGAAGCACTTTGTTTCAGAAAACAAAACAGAGAAATGTAACAGTGCTTGCCAAATTAGTGTGCTGTCAAGATTATCTGCTCTGGTTTTTAACCTTTAGAAGGAGAATGGATGGTTCATTTGAATTCAAGTTCTATGTTCAAAGAAACCATCTCTTGCTTGAAATCCTTGTTCCACATTCTCTTGAGGTTTTATTTTCTGCACTCCTTCTGACCTGGTGTGATGGCCAGTCTTGATTGTCAACTTGATGTGCTTAAGAAGAACCTCTCACTTGTAGAATTGTCTGTGTCAGATTGGTCTGTGGCAATTTCTGGCAGCCATTTTCCTTAATTGCTAATTGATATTGGTGGAGCCAGCCCACTGTGGGAGAGGAGCACAGGCAGGATGGCATGGGCTATATAATAAAGTTGGCTGATGAAGCTATGGTGAGCAAGCCAGTAAGCTCGGGATACTTCCCCAGTTTCTGCTTCAGCTCCTGTCTCCAAGTTCCTGCCTTGAGCTCCTGCTTAGGCTTCCCTTCATTGAAATAAGCACTTTCCTCTCCCAAGTTGCTTTTGGTCAGTATTTTATCAGAACAACAAAAACAAAATTAAAGTAGAATGCTCAGGACACTTGGCTATACTGCATTAACTTTATTTTATTTTATTTCCTATTTGAGCACTATGTTGTTACTATAAGCTTTACTTGGCTATACTGCATTAACTTTATTTTATTTTATTTTATTTCCTATTTGAGCACTATGTTGTTACTATAAGCTTCCAAATGGAGACAATGTTCACATTATCCTTACACTTCGTTTGTATACTCTCAAGCCCTAGGAGCATAGAAAACTTGAGTGCCACCTTGTCTACTTTCTTTACAGTGTGCTGAAGCCAAAGATGTCGGTACATTGCAGTGTGTTGGCAGGTGGCCCTTGACGTCCACGCCTTTCTGTACCTCCCTCACAAGCTCAACTGTGTGAGAAGCATTATCCCTAGAACCTAGAAGGGTAAATTCCTCATCCACTCCACTCATAAGGACACAGGACAGTAGTGCCCTTAAGCTTTCCTTGCCATGGCGAATACTGTTAGGATTTTTTTTTTTAATGAAGAAGGCTTAGACTTTTACTCGTCTTTCTCTCTTCTCAGCTTTCCTTGGCATGGCGAATACTGTTAGGATTTTTTTTTAATGAAGAAGGCTTAGACTTTTACTCGTCTTTCTCTCTTCTCTAATGTCATCTTTTGCATTTTCCGAGGGATTTTTTGAATCCCCTGCTGTGTCCACAACATGACTCATTAATTCCCAAACATTTTCCAAACCTGTGTCTCTCAAAGAGAGCTCAGGTGTCTCTACTTCATGAGGGTTTCCTCAATCCTGTCTCCTTTCCTAAACAAATGTTAAGATGTGGTCTTTCTCCTTTCTCTCCCTCCCTCCCACGCCCTCCTTTTCCCTCTCTTCTTCCTATCCCCTTTCTACCTCAGCACGTTGTCTTCTTTCTCTCTTCCTTTGTCATGATCTAGTATATTTTATCCCTTTTTGTAGAATTGACAATAAAGGAATTTTTGAATTCTACTACACTTCAGGCTAGTGCCTTAATTTAAAATCATTTTCTTATTTAAACTTCATACATTTTAGGGATGATGAGGTGACTGTGATTTAAGATATAAAATCAAGTAGATGATGAAATAGAGGTTCAGATTACTGCTGCTAGACTTCAAATGCCTTGATCATATTCACTCTGCTATACAGGCTCACTTGCTATTCTCGAGCAAATCCCACCTCACATTGCAAATAGGATTTTAAATCTAGGTTCCTATGTTTTTTTAAACATAGCTTTATTCATATTTGAATCAAGTATGGTATATCTTGTTCCTACAGCATAACGAATGCTCAAATATTTGTTAAATAAATATGTCTTTTGAATATCTATGCCTACACTCATAACAGCAACTACTTAGTAATAAAAGTTCTAGTGGATATTTTTATTAATTTGGCCATTGCACATGCAAAAGATAATCAAGAAAATTCAAGCAGATTCATATTTTCCAATATTTTAAGATAGTAATGCATGAGCTTTCTATCTGGCTGTGAAAGACTATTTATGTGCAATAGAAACTAACTTTTTAAATGCAAATAAATCACTCAAAACATCGCTTGTGTGGAATCCAATCATTATGGGAAAAATCACTAGTTAAATACTCAACTGATGACTAGTCAGGAAAATCCCTAGATTTTTCCAGAAGAAATATACATGTCCAAGAAATTTTATTATAAGGAGCAAATTTACCTTTGTGCATATTAAATATGCCCATTGCTCTGTTTGAGATTTGCAGCTGTCATTTCAAACACCATCATTTACAAAACCAGATAGAGTAAGTTCATTGGAGTCTTTACAAGTTAACACAGGGGGTTAAAATTCATAGTTCTTTAAATATACCATCTTCATTTTTAATCCAGAAGAGGATAAAAGAGCAGTATCTGAAATCAGTTTGGGACTATCAAAGAAACAATAAAAAATGATCATTCTTTGTGGCTAAAAGTGTAGATATTTGTTGAAAACCCATCCTCTTCAGCTATACCATAGGCTGGTGGATATGTGTTGGTATGTCCTGGAATTTGTAGTTTGCAGAAAGATGTGGATCACTAGACAGGTACCTATGTTTCAATAAGTTGCTTATAGAAACACTTCTGCAGAGGTTGGGAGACCTACATTTATTATTCCAGACAGAGTGTGCACATACAAAGTTTGAGCCATGGGGTTTGTGTGTGTGTGTGTGTGTGTGTGTGTGTGTGTGAGTGTGCGTATGCATGTGCATGAGCTGTGTGTGTGTAGAATGAAAGTCGACATCAGATGTCTTTCTCAATCACTCCCAATCCTATGTACTGAGGCAGGGTTTCCCGCTGATTTCAGTTAGTATGGCTGGGGGACTCAGCCCTGGGGTTTCCTG